GTGTGTGTGTGCATGCATATATGTGCGTGCATGTGTGTGCATGTCTGCGTGCATGCATGTGTATGTGCATGTGTGCATGCATGCGCGTGTGTGTATGCGTGTGTGCATGGGTCTGCGCACGGCTACAGAGCGGGAGTGTTGCCCTGCGACCGGGGGGTTATCAGCAGGATGGGGTGCCAGCGCAGAGGACGGGCAGGAGTGCAGACAGAGAGACAGAGAGACCCCGGGCGCAGGGAGGGAGCAGACCCCGGCACGGAGTGAGGGGTGACACTGCGAGCGCAGCAACTTCCTCGCGCCGAAGTGTGACGGGAGCCTGCTGGAGCCACCTGCTCCATGGGGGAGTGATTTGGGTGACCCAGGGGTTACATATCTGGAAGCGGGGAGACCCCAGGAAGCTGCTGGGTCTGCCTGCATCTCCCCCACATGAGCCCGGACAACTGGGCGCTGCGCGGGCTCCCGCGCCTGTCAGTGTTAGGACGGCAGCAGGGCTGATCGATGCCTTACTCACCACAGAGGCCACGCAAATGGCAAATCTCTGCGTTGCGAAGGCTGCTGGTGGGGCTGGAGACTGCCACGCCGCCCTCCCCCAGGACTCTCTTAGAGTCAATGGAGTTTATTACTTTAACGTATTTCCTTTCGCTCTCTTTCTAAAGAGCATCTTTTCGGCAGTGCTGCTTTGCAAACGAGGAACCAGTCCGCGGCAGGGGCAGGGTCTCAGCACCGGGCTTTGCTTGTCCAGCGGTGGGAGAGGAAGGCCCGGGCACCCCCCTGGCTTGCCCACCAGCCTCTCCACAGACAGAGGACAAGAGGGAGAAGGCGGCTTCTCTGAGCTGAGCTCTGAGGGGAGAGCAGCGGCAGGATTTCGTTAGCCTGCCTCTTAAGGCAGTGAAGTCTCCATCTCCTCCCACGCTCCCTCCTCAGTCCGACCCCATCCAGCGCAGGGGTAGTGGGACCTCAGCCTTCATCTGGAGCTTCCCAACAAGCCGTAAGTCCTTCTTGGGTTGGAAAATCAATTTTACCTCTGGCTGTTCTATGGTCACGCCGTCAGCCCCTCTGCACGGCCAGTAGAGTCGGAGCCAGGATCGATTTTTGGGGTTGGCTTTGGGGCTGTATCCTGCTCTGCTCTGGGAGCAGGGAGAGGGGGAAGCCTTGCTGACATCCCCCCAGTGACAGGGCAAAGGGGCCAAGGTGGACTGGGGAGCTGTGAGGGTTGTTTGTGGATGGGAAATGGGGCAAGGAGCGCTTGGGAACCCTGAAGGGAGGTTGGGGGTAGATTTTGGGTGGTTTCCCAAAGGAAAGGCTGTGGCTGGGGCAGGATGGGTGTGAGGGTGCAGAGCCGTGGTGATCAGCAGCATTCTGGCACCCTGACACCAATGGGGAGAGGGGCAGAGGGAGCGGGGGCAGCAGAGGGGTTGGGAAAGCATCCCTCAAACCTCCCCATCTCTCTGCAGACATGAATCCCTACGTCAACTGCTCTAGCCCCGAGTTCCCCCTGCCCCAGCGAGACTTTTCTGTGGAGCCCATCAGCCCTGATCTCTGCAACAGGACTCACCCAGAGACCTTGTTCGACCCCAAGGATGCCAACCTGACAGAGGAGCAGCTGCGGGATAAGTACTTGGGACCTCGACGGTCCAGCTTCTTTGTCCCTGTCTGTGTCATTTACCTGCTGATCTTCGTGGTGGGGGCTGTAGGCAACATGCTCACCTGCATCGTCATCCTCCGGCACCGGTTCATGAGGACGCCCACCAACTACTACCTGTTCAGCCTGGCTGTCTCCGACCTGCTGGTGCTGCTGCTGGGGATGCCGCTGGAGCTGTACGACATGTGGAGCAACTACCCCTTCCTGCTAGGTGCCAGCGGCTGCTATTTCAAGACACTGCTCTTTGAGGCCGTCTGCTTCGCCTCCATCCTCAATGTCACGGCCCTGAGCGTGGAGCGCTACATCGCTGTGGTGCATCCACTCAAGGCCAAGTACGTGGTGACCAGGAATCATGCCAAGAGGGTCATCGTCACCATCTGGGTCTTGTCAGTCGTCTGTTCCATCCCCAACACCAGCCTCCATGGGCTGCAGCCTCTCTATGTGCCTGGCCGAGGGTGGGTGCCTGATTCGGAGATCTGCACCCTGGTGAAGCCGCGCTTGACCTACAACCTCATCATCCAGATCACCACCATAGTCTTCTTCTTCCTGCCCATGGGGACCATCAGTGTCCTCTACCTGCTCATCGGCCTGCAGCTCAAGAAAGAAAAGATGCTGGAGGCCTTGGGAGCCAAGTCCAGCGGCGGCCGCGACTGCCACAAAGCCCAGGGGCAGAAGAAAGTCAAGAGGAGGCAGGTCACGAAGATGCTGTGTGAGTCCGATGCTGGGGAGTCCCATGCTGGGGATGGGCAGGGCCAAGGAGTATCTCCCAAGGCTGTGTTGGAATGGTGCTGGGGGGAAACAGAGGCACGGCCAGTCCAGAGCTGCTGGGTCATCCTGCAGGAAGGCTGCAGGGCTGGCTCATGGGGTGTTGGGGCAAAGGCAGATCTGGTGGCTCCAGTCCAGCGGTGGGGATTGCTCGTGCCAGCTCCCTCCTGGCCGCGAGACCTCCCCTCCTCCAGAAAAGTGCTGGGTGAGAAAGTGAAAGGAGGTGGGATGGGGGAACCTGCCCCCCAGCCCAGACCTCATGTGCTGGTGGTGGTGGGATTTCCCAGAGAGGGACCAGTTCCTACCCAGCCCTGCAGCCTCTGCGACCGACCTGGGGCAATGATGCACTGACCCAAGGCTGGACTGGAGCATCCCTCTGTCCCACCGCTCTGCGCCCTTGCTCAGCTCCCCATCCCCGCAGCCTCTGGCCCCCTTCCCAGCAGCAGGAGCTGGCTGCCCTTGGGTAGCCGTCTCTCCCCAGCACGCTGACCTCCGCGTGCTCCCAGACCCATGACGGCACAGCGATGGCGAGTTGCCCAGCACAGTCCATCGGCAGGGCCAGGGCTGCTTCTCTGCCACGTCCCAGACAAGTGGTAACAGCTCTCCAGCTTTCCCCGGCACCGGGGCTGGGAGGGGGGACAAAGGGGGACTTGTCCCCGCATGCCATAGGGATGCAGCATGGCACAGGTATGGCATCATGTGGGTATGCATCAGCAGAGCTGGGTTATAAAAAGAAATCGACGGAGCACAAGGAGAGGGCGCAAATAGGTCTTGCTCCTTGGACTTGGCCGTGCCCCATGGGTTACCCGGTTAGCAGGGAGCACTTTTGCTTTGCTGGCAGAGGTGGCAGGGTGCCCGGAGGCTGGATGCCTGCAGAAGCATCCCCCAGCCATGCTGTGGGGTTGCAGTGGGGCTGGCTGCCTGCCGATGGGGAGCTGAGACACGTGGCATAGCAGCACCTGGAGCAGCCCTGGCAGGAGATGGAGGGAGATCCTGCCCAGATGTCCAGCACCTCCACGGCAGGTCAACAAGGCATTGGGAGGCCCTTCCCCTCTCCCCCTTCCTCTCTCCCGTGCTTTTTTGGGTGTTCTTTGCTATGGCCGAAGCCGAAACAGGGCAGTGCTTGGCCAGGGACTAGAGGTCCCCAGAGGGGTGAGCCCCATCCCCCCAGTAACACCAGCTCCTCGGCTCCCCACAGTTGTGCTGGTGGTGGTGTTCGGGATCTGCTGGGCCCCCTTCCACACTGACCGCCTTGTCTGGAGCTTCATCTCCACCTGGACCAGCCACATGCTCCACATGTTCCAGTACGTCCACATCATCTCGGGTGTCTTCTTCTACCTGAGCTCAGCCGCCAACCCCATCCTCTACAACCTGATGTCCACCCGCTTCCGGGAGATGTTCAAAGAGGTGATGTGGCACCCCGGCCACCGCCCACCACGGTCACGGAAATACTCACCCAGCGTCACCCGCACCACCACCCGCAGCACCGAGTGCGAGCCCATGCCCAGCGCCAACGGGCTGCCCCTCTCCGACGCTGAGGAGTACGAGCTGGAGGAGGTGGAGGGGGGCCAGGCCACCACGCATGCAACGTCCCTCTGCTGATGAGCAGGAGGACGCAGGGGGACCAGGACCAGCTTTCCCCACCACCAGCATCCATCTGACTGTGGCACCCATCCCACGGTGGGGAGCAGGGCAGGAGCAATGGAGGGGTCCCCACCTCTCTGTGCCATCCCACTGGGATGTGAAGACTGGTTTTCTCAACAGCACTGCTCTGGGGACATGGTGGCAGTGGCCATGCTGTGCCCTGCATGCGTTGCACCCACTGCGCTCAGCGCCGGGGCTGGCCAAGGCCAGGGCATCCCTCACAGCGTGGGGACGGCTGGCTTCTATGTCAGGGATATGCCAGCAATCCCCAGAAACATCTCATCCCTCCCGGCCCAGCAGGGTAAGCCCGCGGGTGCAGGTGTCAGGGGTGTCAGGCACCCCAGGCTGTTTCAGGACACCATGCTGAATGGGTGCCCCGAGAGGTGCTTGCACCCGGGCTGAGACCCACAGGGGCGGGAGAGGTTTGCACGGGATGGAGAGGGGCAAAAAGGGTCTGTGGGTGCCTTCTCCCTCGAGACCTCCCCAGGGCCCTCTGGCACTGACCTGCCCCTGATTTTCTTGCACATCCCTTCGGTGGTGCCAGCCGGTGTCTGGCTGCAGGGTACCAGAAAGGCTCCTTGCTCCCAGCCTTCCTCCCGCCCCAGCCCCCCGAGGGCCAGGGAAGGAGCACGGCCGCTCCCTCCAGAGCCGGAGCCTGCCAGAGCCTTGTAGGGGGAAATACAGGATAATGGGAGCCCCAGGCTGCCTGCAGCGCTGAGGCACAACTCTGCACCTTCCCCGTGCCCCACAAACATGCCCCACTCTCACCCCTCCAACGCGCATCTGGCAGGTGCCACCCTCCTCTTCCTCATCCCACCATGGACCCCTGCACCTCCAAGGAATGTGGGGAGCCCTCCTCCATGCCTGCCCTGCATGGGCCGAGCCTCACTGAGAATTAAAAAGAGCCGTTGGCCTGATTTGTGCCCTGGTTGCGTCCCCCCCCAGGACCCAGCTCTGCTCCCAGCACGGGACTGAACCCGAGCCATCCTCCTGGGGGGTGATGGACAGGCCATGTGCCAGGGTGATGGGCACCAGGGGTGTCCCACCAGCTCTGTCTGCGGGCTCTGCTGCCGCAGTGGGTCTGCGGAGCCGGGTGAGCTCAGGGCACGTCACGGCAGGGAAGGCGTGAGCGGGATGCACACACCCTTCCCGGTCTCCAGGATGCTCGGGCCAAGCTGGGGCTGGGGCCATTGCAGAGGGGGAGCTGCCTCTGGAGCGGTGGTGATCAATCTGTCCCCAGACACGCGGCTTGGGAAATGTCATGAAAATGCCAGGGAGCGCGGGCTGGCTGGTCGCGCTCCCCCAGGCTGGAAGGACCCATCGATTTACTGTCTGAGATCGATGCCGCTGACTTCCTGGCGTACGCCAGGTCCTCCCGCAGGATGAAATATCGAGGCTCTGAAATGCCACCTGATGGGCTGTCCGAGCAGCTTGAGCTCTTGCCTCGCACAACTTCCCCAGCCCCAGCTCCCCACCGGCCAGCTGGGGAGGCTTCCCTGGCTTGGTGTCCCGCGGCCGTGCCTCTGGGCAGTGTGGATGTGCCAGCAGGGCTCACCTGGGGACCCGAGCAGAAATACCAGAGCAGTAAGCCCCAGGCAGAGCGCTGGCAGAGGCATCACTGCCTGCTGCTGCTCTGCTTCCAGCCCCTCCTAAGCATATCACATGGGGCCACAGCCAGGCCAGCGACCAAGAACAGGCAGGATTTGGGGCTTGCAAACTCCCTCCTGGTCCTATCGACCCGGTCCCTGGCTCGCGGACAGTGCGGCCGGCTCCCCCCCCACTCCCCATCCTCACAGCAAGGTCTGCTGTGGGCAAAGCCCTTCCTCGGCCCTTGTGGGGTCCTGCTGTGTGCTGCTGAGTGAGGGTGGGCGTGGGGCTGCAGTAACTTTGCGCTTCAGGGTCCTGCCAGCTGCTCACAGCCTCTCTCCGGAGGATGTCAGCGTGGCCAAGGGCATCGAGATCCACCTATTTCCTTCCCTTGCCGGCTCCCATTGCTGATGGTCCTGGCAGGGGACAGCACCCTGGCAGCCATGCAGGGTCCTTCGTCACTGCTGCGCAGGTGGACATGACTGATGCCTTCTTGATGGCCGTTATTGCTCCATCTCACTTCACCCGGCTGCTTCCCTGGCCACAAATCTCCAGGGAATGGCTTTTTAATAGGTGGTCAATAGCATTTTATTATGCAGTGACAGCTGCCTGCGTGTAGCTTTGGGGTCCCTCGTGCTGTGAGTTGGGAGGATGCGTCCCCCTGCTCGTGAGCAGCCGGGCTGTGCAAGGATACAGCTGCGGTCGCTGCAGCTCGAGCTCCTTGTTCAGTGCCAGAGGACAGTGTGTGTCCCCCTGGGGTTTTTTGGGGAGTCCTGGGGCTCAGCACAGCTGGAGTGGAGTTCAGAGCAGCCAGAAAGATGAGGGCACTGGCTTTGTCTTCATCCAGTCTTGTGTCTCCAGCTGCCCTGCCATCCCCTGATCTGGGACTCCCCGTCCTTCTCAGCTACCGCAAATTCCCCTCTCTGAGATGCAGGAGGGGAGTGTGCTGCTGAGGCCCCAGCATGTTGGGTGGCGATGCTGGGGACTGCCCTACCACTTGCCCCCAACACACAGCTGGGACCAGGGATCACCCTGAAAAGCATCCCGAAGGCTTGCCAAAGTTGCAGCTGCAGCACGGCCAGTGGCATCTCCTGGGTGGAGATGTGTGGGCAAACCTTGCTCCCCCGGGCAGGGTTTTGCGATGGCGTGTGGAGACCCCAAGTCTCCAGGTACCGCATGCCAGCCGGGCTCATGAGAGATGCTGCAATCAAAGGCTCCCGGGCAAGTCCTTTAATCCCATAATTAGTTTTAGTAAAAGCTACAGTCAGGGCATGAAACCTAATAAAAAAGGAACTGATCTCCCGGGGCAGAACGGTTTCGTGGAGAGGGTTTTACACCTCTCCATCACTGGGAAGGCAGCGGCTGCCAGCTCCTGCCTGCCTCGGGCTCATTGCAGCCCCCAGGAACAGCCTGCAGAGCCTGTTTGCTCAAGGGACGATGCTCCCCACTGCCCTGCACCCTCGGGGTCAGCCTGGTCCCTTGCCACCTTCACGGTATAAATTAGAGGGATTATTCCTGCCGGGGAGGTGGTATAGAAGCAAAGAGCCCTGCAGGGGGGGAGGCAGCAGAAGCCAGGGATGGGGCAAGTTGCTCCCACTGCTCCCACCCGTGTAACTGGCCGGGGGGATCGACTGGCGCTTCAGGATGGCTGTGGGGGAAGGAGGATCCCAAAACACTGCCTGGGAGTTCTCACCAAATAAATGATCCTTTCAGAACGCAAGGGGACAGAGCAGAGGAACGCTGGGGGCCGGGAGCTGGTGGGAGTGCACGGATGCTGTTGCTCTGGGTCTTCACTCAGAGCTGGGGGAAGCATCTCTCTGTCCCTGCAATACAGAGCACGTGGCCAGGTCAGGCTCCACGCCACCGTCTCCTCTTCAAGTGCTTTGTTGCCAAAGAGCCGTTCCCCAGAAGTTGTCCATCTGTCCTCCCAGATTTACAGCAGCATCTGTCCAATGGCCGGTTCCTGCCAAACCACCCGCTCCCTACCGAACCCTCCTGCCCCCCCTGTGCCCGCTCAGCACCCCCACGGTGAGCACCCATCCCTCCTCCATCACCTCCGGCCCCGTTCCCAGGAGAATCCCTCTCTCCCAGCAGCTCGTGGAGCTGTTTTCCCCCCGTGCTGCCGCACGCCCTGAGTGACACAGTATCTCTGGAGCCTCCAATAAAAAGATTTATCACCGTAGCTTTGGGGATTAAAAAGCAATCCATCTACAAGGCTGCCCCAGCCTTGTAAGGCTTTTTTTTTGTGCTGTGGCTGTTTGCAACAGGCATGGGGTGGGGTTTTTTTTTCCCTTAGGGAGTCAAACTCAAGTTTTACAGTGATTGCCTTGTATATTTGGAGCCATGATAGATGGCTCCAGAGAGTGCCAGCGGATTTTTTGCCATCCCTCTTCAATAAGCCAAGGGAAGGGTTGTTTTTCGGTTCCTTTGCACAGCCATGATATGGGGAAAACTCATACAGCGGGAATTTAGCAAAACCCTTGCATGCCTGGGAGTGAGCGGTCCCTGTCTGGGGCCGGGCAGTGGGGTGGATTTGGGCTGCCCGGCCATGGATGCAGCACAGCAGCCTTTCCCACCAAGATCCCAGCCTTTGTGAGGGGAGCAGGGAAGCAGGAAAATGTAAATGCCAGGGAACCTCAGGGATGTGCTGCGTTTGAGCTCAGCACTGATTTAGGCTGCTTTTTGAACCATATTTCAATTATTCCTCTTACTCCAGGATAGTGGTGGCGGTGAAAAGCTATCACCTAGTGCCTACAGACTGGTGATGGGCAGCATAGAGGTAGGAAGGAGGACAAACAGACAGGCGAGGGAAATATAATATATGTAGGGTTTGATTCTGCTCCTCGGGGACACCTGTGGGCTCATTTTTTAGCCCCATGCTGAAGGCAGCCCATCTTCCCACCCGGCTCCTTCGTGGCTTCCCAAAGAGCCAGGACTCACCTAGGAACCAGCTTGCCAGGCAGACGTGTGCTGCAGGGAGGCTTGGAAGAGGAGGAGTGGGAAGCACAGCCCACCGCGAGGGCCCTGGATGGAGGAGCTCAGCGGCGGCTCCGGATGCTCAGGCTGACTCACAGCCATGTTGTGGTGCGACCGTCATCTGCGCTGGGGATGGTTTTCTCCATGTCACAGCAAACTCAACAGCCCTGGAGGGGCCGGGCCACGTGCAGGGAAAGGATGGGCTCCCCGTTCCCCACCTTGCCCCCCTTAGGGCACACAGGGAGGGGACACACTAAGGCTAGATGGGCAAAGGGCGTCATCCAAGAAATGAAGGTCTGTATGTTATTTAAGGACACCCCCCCTTGCCTGAAATCCCACTGTCCTCAACGGCAGGGTGATGGGAAGGACAGAGGTACGATGCACAGTGCCCTTCC